TGGGCAAGGGTTACAGTTAGTGCTGCTTTTGTAACTTTTGCACATGAGGAAGCAGTTTCAATGATTTTCCTTGCTTCTGTGAAAATCTTTTAGTATATTTAATTTTAATATGTCTTTATTTCTTTTTCAGATTTCACGTTCCCTAGAGTCTGAAGTATGGCTCTGCTTGAGATTGAAACGTTCTCTTTATATTCCCCCCTTATCGGCTTCCTTGTACATCGGTTATTTGTTATTCCCCGTATCTTTGGCAGTTGAAACATTTTAGTGGGGTTGGGATATACGTTTCTACTTTAGAAACTGTATACCAGATTTTTATTTCAGATGGCGGTTCTGATGTGTCAAATGATGTAGTGTCGGTGTCTCTGATTTTATTCTGTTTTGTAGATATTCTTTTTACATCTGTGATATTTCATCTTTTTATGCTAATGTTGTTTTTTGATTTCCTCCAATGTACACAGAGAAAGTTCGGTGCTTTTCGCTACGCCTTTGGAGGAGTTTAAAGTTTTTTGTGTGTGTGTAGGTTCTTATTTTTGTGTCATGGAATTTGCACATTCCTAGAAGTCATACAGCATCATTTCTTTTATTCACTTCAACTGCAATTTTTTTTTTTTTTACTGATTTAGGAGCTACCTTTGTTGATAATATTTTTCTATTATAAATGGTTATTTCCTTCTCCTCCATTGGTTCTATTACGATAGATTTGAAGAATGTTTGTACATAGTGATACAAAAACTATATCAGTTTCTGCATGTAGTCTCTTAGTTTTTGGCTTACGTATTTTATTAATTAATTTCTTCATTAGCTGTTCTTAATTTCTTCATTAGCTATACTTCTCACCCACCCTGGAGCCCCATATCCGGGAGGTGGTGGGGGAGTTTTTCCCATTTGCCTCATTCCTCCAGGGTTTCGTGGCTGGTATACTCAAACGTAGCAAAGGCTCCCAAGCAACTACTGTACCTAGACACGTCCACCCAGGTATGGACTTACCTCAGGGGAAGAAGCAGCTGTCTCCTTATTTCCAGGTAGCCACCGCTTACTAAGTCAGTTACCACACTCACCACATCAAATGATGTGGTGAGTGTAGGTGTCTTTTACGTGTTTGGGTGGCTTGACTTAGGGCTTCTGTATTCTTCTAGAGAGATTGGCAGAGGAGGAAACGTCGGATGCTGAGGTTGTAGTATCTGTTCCGTGCCGGAGTCTTCTCTTCTCCCTTGCACCCCCCACATCGTTACTTAGCGGGGGTATGACCGGCTTTGAGAAGCTCTGACTAGCTTAGACAAGCGGCCCGAGTGGAAACACTCTGGTCCCCACGTTAAAACCAACCTTGTGTCACAACCTGACTCAGTGTTGGGTTAAGGTAAATCTCAGGCTTGATGTGACCAGTCAGTTGATCGGATAGGGCCTCTCCAACTGCCCGTATAGCTCAAGTAAAGGCCAGATTGGATTGTTATAGTTCTTGTGATCTGCTCACACATCAGTTACCCGCAATGATAATGTGAAGTCAGCTTATTCTACAGCCTCTACAGATTGGGCGGGGTTAACTGGAAGGGTAGACTGGGTCTTATAGCTTTGGTTGGCAACCAGTAGACGATAAAAAAGTAACGGCAGCCTACTGCCAAATCAATCATGAATCGAAAAGAGACAAAATAAAACAATCGAGAATTCAGCATGGCGGCGGACGGGCGAGAAGGAAGGAAGCAAGCAATGTATGGAGACATTCAAAGTGAAAATCATTATAATAATGAGGCAAAAATCTATTATCTGGGATTTTTTTTTTATTGATTACTCTATTTGGAAGAGAACTCGCGCCATTATGTTGAACACATATAATAAATCAAATTTATTTTTAGTGAGTTAATTTCAAAATCAATACTCAGCTATTACTGCAGAAAATGAGCTGAAAATTGCAGCCGTTTGTTATTATGAATTTGACTTATCAGCTTCTTTATAAGCTCAGGCTGGATATAAATCTCAAACATGGATCCTAAATGTATGGCCCTCAGGCAACATTTAGCCTGCCATAGATATTAGTTCTTTATAGGGGCGGCTTTGTATTCTAGAAACCAACGTTATAAAGGCTTTTTATTAACCAAGAAATTGTATTAAAGTACATGGCACAGAAGACTTTCGTTTCACAGAATATTGATTCTCCTATCGGCAGTAATATGAACATCAGCATGGACTAATTATCATTCACAGCAGCAGCTGGCCTGCCACTGTGGAACCTATCACTAAGGTCATTTTCTCTTTTCTCTCTAGGATTACCTTTCGTTCTAATGGCTCATCTCCTTACTAGTAAGAATATCATGTGTGGCTTTTTTTATCGTTCACGGTAGCAGCTAGCCTGCCACTGTGGAACTTATCAATAAGTTCACTTTCTCTTTTCTTTTTAGGATTACCTTTAGCGCTAATAGCTCATCTCCTTACTATTACGAACAAGTAGCGAGTTATAACTCTGGATAAATAATTATAAACTACCTAATGTTTATACACACAAAAATACTCGTAGAAAATGAAAAACGTAGGAACAATAAAACGAGTGCTATTCATTATCTGGTGTTAAAGACACGAGAGACGGTAATAAAGAGTAAAGTGTGAATCAAATGTAGATCAAATATTGGCCGGAATCCGACAAAATGATACGATAGATAATAAATGAATTGTAATTAGTCTTTCATATATATTTTCTTTTTATATATGTGTGTAGTTTTATTTTTATATATGTGTGTCCAGATAATTTAGTTGGAAATTAAAAGTATATGGAGTTTTCTTACCTCGAATTTTGGTTATGAGTATTAAGAAATAAATGTTACCGTTGTGGCGAAAAAAGTAAAGCAGCCGAAATATTGTCAACTCACGTTTTCACTGCATGTGCGATAGTGTGTGATGTCACGTGTTTGTGTGTCTACAGGAGAAGCGTTTCACATTGGTTTAGAAAGAGTGGATTAATCATAATAATTATAATTATTTCCAGCAGTATAATTATTTTTTAAACTGATTTTTAAAAACGGACACGACAAAGTGACAGTATAATTAATTTTTTTTAAATTTATTTTTAAATGGACATGACAAAGAGATAGTATAATTAAATTTTAAAAATTTATTTTTAAAGGATAGGAAGAGAGACAAATGGTGAAAATTGTGCAATTGGTGAGTGTAGTGACGTGGGCAAAGGATATTGTGTCGTGGTGTGTTTTTATTTTATCTACATTTGATGATCTTAAAATATAATTGTTTTATTTGTAGGTGTTTGTTTTTGTTGTATGAGTATAGAAAAACATCACAACACTCATAATTTGTCTACCTATCCTGATGATGATTTAAGAAAGTCGAATGTTTCGCCCATAGTTCATGTATTTTATTTCTGAAATGAACTTCGGACACTTTCAGATGAAATGTTCTTTTTCTCTGAGAAGGATCGTTCATGATTTGGAAAAATTCCTCTAGCCAAAATTTATATATATATGTAAGATTTAAAAAAAAACAAAACAAAACACAAAAAAAATCACGTAATATCTATATATCATATTTATAATACATGTATTTTTGCAGAGAAATATTAAAATTAAAATTTTGTTACTTACATGTGGGTTTTCAGAAAAAATGTTTTACTTTTTTACTTTAAGCGGTTTCGCTTTTAGCTTTTCAAAAGCTGTTTATATTTCACCGTGTTGACGCTTGTGTTTTGAACAAATGAATAAAGTCAAGGTGCGTATCATTATTATTATTATTAAAAAAAAACAAAACACAGTCATTTTGTGTCGATTAATTTTACTGATCAACTTTTCTAAATTACGAATGATCCTTCACGGACAAGGAGGAAATTCTGTCAAAAATTGTCCGAAGTTCATTTCGGAACGAATATGGCCAAACCTTTCAACTTTAAATCATCATCAGATTAGGTAGAAACAAATGGTGAGTGTTATGACGTATCAAGGTGTGACGTATGCGTGTGACTTGTTTTTTTTTTTTTTTTTTTTGCTCACAATACCTGTTGTCTTTCGTAATATTTGCCTTGAAGGACGTTTGCTGCTCAAATACACAGTATTTGCATGCAAATTATTGACCTCATCTTTTTTACTATAACAACTTCCTTTATTTAATCTATGGGATATATTTTTCTCGTTCTATTGCCCATATCTAGGGATATCTAATTTAGTTTTTATTTAGTACTAGTCAGTTGTTGCTCGACCCGTTTCTACTGAATCAAAGTCAACATGAACGGCCTGTAGATTAAAATCACAATTACTGTCACAAAGATCTCTTCGAAAATCTCTGAAGGTTACACGGACAGACAAACACCTGATGAAGGCAGAACACAATGGCCGAAACAAATTTGAGGACAATAGTCCGCATGAAAAATGGAAATAATGATAAATACTCATCCTAAAAATTCAGACAGAAATTATTCCTTCATTGAAAAAAAAAAAAAAAAAAATAATTTTATTATTTGGCTGACGAAAATATGTAAAATATCCACTGACCAACTCGCTTGGAAACCATAGTTCTGAAAGTGTTGGCAATAATGGGTATGTCCCCATTCGCATATGTACAGTAGTAAATACTGTATGTTGGTCTGCATTTGAAGATTCGTCTCAAGCTGTGTTGGTCAAACTCTTTGCTTCCGGGCAGAGATGATCTCCAGATGAGGTTATGTCGATGGGCAGAGTCTCGTCTGGGGAAACAGCTACCCGACCCCGTTTTATACAGGGTCTACGGGGAAATTTTGGCCGAGCCTACGGCCATTAAATTCCGCTTTGTGCCATATCTGACCGCGTGGGGCGCTTGGTAGATATCCTGCTGTTGGAGATTCATTACGGAATTCACTTGACTCACTTCTAGCAGTTGACTACTTCTCCTACGCGCCGCTGGCGAATCTTATATTTGTTGTTCTTGTCCTAAGTATTATTGCTCATTACCAACCTTCTTCTGATTATTCTATTCAGTAACTTTCCCTGGGTTACAAGAGAAAGAATAAAGAGTTAATAGAACCGACTCACCTCTGTAAATTTGAACGTAGTCAGCATTGCACCCGACTGTGAACTCAATGTCCACCCACAACCACTGAATTTCCAAGGACAGATCTTTGCCTCCCGAAAAGATTAACCAACTGCAGGACTGATTACTGAAAATTAAATAACAATAAAGTCAATATTTTTTTTAGTTTATTAAAAACAAAAATAATAATCTAATCAAATTAATTTTTTTCTCAGGCAAAAAAAAAAAATGTTTTTATTTCCTTTTAAGTACTTCACACTCTTAGACGCGTTTAAGACTTTCGGATTTGGGAAGAGGACAAAATTAAAAGTACTGTTGGATTGGCGAACAAAGCTGTCTCCTCCTACAAATAAATAAAAACCACGTAACAGCTATCGGAGGTCATCTTTGACAGGCAACGGCAATTAGGACAGACACAAGGACAAACCCTATTCACAAGGAACTGGGACAAGGGTCAAATCCAGACAAAGGGAACCACAAACCAGTTATGAAGAAGCGGATACCCTCTGGTAATTTGGTCCGGGTGCAAGCGATCGTGTTCTGTTTATTATACTGACCTTATGTCGAATCTTGCCTGACTGGGACAGCAAGTAGATGTCGAATACCTTCTGATAATTCACACTATAAACAAAATTTGAGTGTCTTGCCACAACAGCATGAAAGATTTGTCAGCTGAAGAATCAAGTTTCCAACAACATTATTGCAAATAAATAATTTGGTTTGTTATAAAGAAATTTCCAGATCTTACTCTTTTCAGTTTAATTTATTTATTCAATAATGAATACGTTTTTTTTTGTGACACAAGATCGAAAGTAGAAGGGGAAAATCTTGTTATCACTATCTATCCTACACCTAGCTAATTCGATTCACGACCCATTCATTTTCACAACTGATAAAAATACCATAAAAAAAACTCATCCCTCTCCATCCAATTCGACCAAGTACCAAAATACAACATTTTTACCAGGGCCCTAATAACACACCCTTGATTGTAAACATTTCTGGATACACTGAGTGTGATGGGCGAATTGTTGCCATTTTATATTTTTAATTTCGCTCTTTTTTTTTTTTTTAATGTTGTCGACTACACATTATAGTTGAGTACCGTCTATAAAACATAGAGCACCATGGCACAATTCAGTTAGCCAGAAATTTGGAAACAGCATACTGTACCGCTTGGCATTCGCGCCCGAAGTTCAAATACTATTTCAGATGGTTTGGGTGTCAATCTAAAGACAGTGCAGAGGATTCGGAAAGAGTTGGATGAGTATAATGGTGATTACGAAGGCAGCACGAAAAACTCACTCTCTTGGTTCTGACAAGAAAAGAACTCCCAAATTTGTTGGTGAGGGTCTTAGCCTCAACACGGAGGCCTATATAACGTACCTTGAGGAGGTAGTGCTGTCCTAGGTCAAATGGGTGACAACAAGTTTTAGCAACAAGAATCTGCACCATGCCACACAATTAGGAGAACCCAGTTAATTTTGGCAATCACATCCCCCATATAACTTACTGCTCACGCTGCAACACCCACCTTGATTATTATGTGTGGGATGCAGATGAGACCAACAAAACTCCTTGTAACACCAAAGATGAACTGAAGGCAAGGATTATGGCAGCATTCACCAACTAAAACAAGGAGACCGTCCAGAATGTAGGAGATTTCCTTGGAGGCGGTGGTTGAAGCCAATGGGGATTTTATTAAATAAAATTTACTCTGTAGTATTTCACGATGTTTCTGCAATTTTGGTAAATATATCTTTTAAAATAATATGTCAGTATTACTTTCATTTTTGCCTAATTTAGACAATTTATCCATCGCACCCTTTATATGTACAAACATTTTTCTTTACAAAAATGACATGAAAAGGGGAGGAGGCAAAGCCATTTAATCAAAATAAAAATTAATTAAAAGAAATAAAATCAATATTCGTAGGGAATCGTCTAAAACTGAAAAATGAGAATGGCTGCTCTTCCCATAGACAGAATCAAGAAGCTCCCTCGCTAGTGTCGGGGTAGGGACAAAGACAATTTGGGGCTGGGAAAATGTAAAAGGTTGGTGAAATCAAGATAAAAAGCAAAGGAAAAACTGGAGAGCTAGGAAATGTTGAAAAGGACCATAACAAAAGAGGAGGCCAGTAAAAACAGTCACTCACGTTAACTATCTTAGCCCGGTGTGGGATCCGCTAGGAATTTCCCCCTTTGTGACTTTAGGGCATTCACAAAGGAAAAAAAAATAGCCCGGTTCACTTGAACCAGACTCATAACTCGCACCCACCTTTTGCCTAGATCAGTCAAAACCAATCGCTTTCTATCAGTTGTGATCTTCTTGAATTGATGCCTAGAGAATGAGATGAGAATAGTATTCATTTCTTAAGAATCCCTCCACTCGTGTCATCTATACCACCATCCTTGCCAGCGTTAGAAGCGTGGGAAACACCAACCGTTTCACCCCAAACCACGACGATGACATATTGTCGCGAGATCAATGGATAAAAGGTGTTCGGGATCTATAAAAGCCGTCAACTCACCGACATGGCCCTAAAACGTCGGATCAGCCTAATCTGACTGGCCAAATATGATATGAATATTTTAATACATTCAGTTTCTATGGAAATTAGATATTTATGATGTATTAGTTGGTTAATCAGAATCCATTCATGCATGTTTATAAGTCTACCATTCGACATTGCGTCTGAATATTGCTTCTGCATCATGTCTGGTGTACCCGCTATATATGTCGTGATTCTTTACACAATCCCAAAAAAAATCTGCAATGTTATGGGTCCTAACCTGGAACCGGCGTAATGTAGCTTCCCTGTGCCATTTCTGTAATAATTCTTCTATGGTAATTGTTCTGATAATCTCTCCGCTATCATGCCTAGACATTATGAATTTAAACGCACTACTAGATTGGCGGCAAGGTCTCATCTTTTTACTGTTGAAATGGCGAGATCTAACCGTTCTCTGCAAATAGTTTCTTTCCTCGTACTTCTCGTTTATGAAACTCTTCCGTTTCCAATCAAGTTTGATCTTTAAAAATTTAAATACAATGTCAATCGTTCTCTTCAGTCCTTTTCAATTCTATTCTTTTTCTCGCTCCTTAATAATGTTTTTTCCTATATTCTTTCACACTTAGTAACCCACTGCGTGTTTGGGGTTCTGTTGGCTTGCTTGGATGGGGGAGACGATTAAAAAATGTTAAGTCAAATAAAGCCTTCATTTTTTACGTAATGGAAGAAGACAAAAAAAAATGTTTCCAGAAATAATTACCTCAGTCCACAGTTGTTTTGAAAAAAAGCTTATCTTATTTTTACCTAAAGAAACAAGTAATGGTGATGATACGGCGAGTATCGAATTTATTAACAACCAAACGAGCTCGTTAACCAAAGCGCGCACTATTACATAATTGTAATAAAACAGGCATGAAATATTTTATATTTTAGGGTTTTATATGTAGAAGTGAATCTGTAGATGTCCGTTACAAACGTGATATAATGGCTTGCCATTCATATTCAAGAATGCCTGTCTGCTCGGGTGACTAGTTAATGCCTGTTGCAGACGTCTGCTCAGGTACATCCGTGTTAGGTCAACAGTCACAGAGCCCACCTGCTAGTATACCGAGCGGACTATAGTTTCCTAGATAGGTGACCCACTCGGATGTGAATAATAGGTACTGTAAACTTGTGTGTGCGTGTGTGTGTGTGTGTGTGTGTGTGTTATAATGGATAATGGGTCAGAGTTGGAAATCGGTGTTCCAATTCCAGTCGGGTTCGTTATATTCACTTACGCATAAATACCCTTGGGGAAAGTATGAATCCACACTCCCCCCAGCTATGGGTTAATTAATAGGATTTGTATCGGTACGTCATTATTATCCCCACCGCCTCTATACAAAAAAAATTCATGCAATCTAAAAGTTTTCTGGCTTTGAATAACCTGCAAATGCCGTAAAAACAAAAAAAAAATCCCGGCCTACTCTACTATTTAATCCATAGCTGGGATGCGCAGGGAGATGAATTTATACTTTTCCTAAGTGAAAAATATGAAAGTGAACAGCTGGAATTTGAACATGGCTCGTCGATTTCTCTTTTCGACCGGCTAACCGTTACGCCACCCGTATATCTGCTACGTAGTCAACATTAAAAATTAGTAGTCAAAATACGGTCTTTTAACGTGGTCCAAACACCAACCTTCGTCCCGAGTATGACGATAAACTACATTCGCGTCCTGGATACGACGATAAACTACGTCCAACAGCAAGGCCTCCGAGGAGCATGGAACTACCTCTTAATTGCTGGTGTTCCCAGGTCCACCCTGACGCGGCGTAGTAGCACCTGTTAGGGTTCCAGCTATGGGCAAATAGTTAACCCCGAAACTGGGGTAAAAAAGCATTATAAAAGCGTAAAAATGGGTTTTAATGCCAGAGATACTTTATAAAACAATTGTTACCAGAAATAATTTTTTAAAGAAAAAAACTATTACCAGTAATGTATTTTTGGGAAAATATATTACCAGCCATACATGTTTTAAAATAATATTACCAGCTATACATTTTTGAGGAAAAAATATTACCAGAAATAGAGTTTTGATAAAACAAATTATTACCAAGAATAAAAAAGTTGTCGGCATTAAATGACGCATTGAGGTTGATAAGCCGTAAAGCACAACAAACCAAACCAAACCAAACACCAAGCGTTTGTGAGATATGTAGAAGTAACTCAATAAAAGCAAATGCCTACCAATGCCACAGTGTATAGGTTCACTTCTAAATATCTTGATGACTTGTGCCTGGGAGCCGATCTTGGTTGGTCGATTTTGTTGCGCGGTATATCAATCTCTATGGGTATTTAATGCTGAAATCTAAATATTTTGTACCTTAGATTTATACTTTCAGAGTAGTTTGCAGATCATAAAATGTACTGCTGATAATCTCACTACAAAAATGTATCGTTGATAATGTTTTCGGAATGTTATCCTCATCTTCATTGCCATATTCACAACGTTTCGGCCGTTGTAGGCTCCAGAACCGAATCCTTTATTTCGTCCACTGGAGTAGATTGTCCTGGGCCACGTGTCTTTGATCCAGTAGGGAAAGACGTTGGTTAGATTCAGTTACTAGACCCA